GAAGACATAAAATTTTCCTCTTCCTATTTTTTCCTAGTCGTGCTTCTTGCTGTGCCAATGTGTGACTGTGGTGTCAATTTCCCGGGGCACTTTTGGCTGGTTAGCGCGCATAAACAGACCACTTAGCTGCTTCCAAAGGAAACAGAAAAAAATACGCAAAAATAACACGCAAAATAATAATCAGCATCTGTCGTCGTTGCCGTTTGATTGTCAATACAAAATGTTTTTATCGCTAACACAATTTGCTAAACAAATTGGGCAGCTCGGCGAAATTTGACTTGATTTATTCCTTTCAGCACTTTTGGCCAGGTTTTTAAAATATCGCTTTTTTTTGTCATAAGCTTTAGTTTAGTTTCAGTTCGTTTCGCTTTTATTCGGGCTTTTTTGCGCTTGAAATAATTGATATCGGCTATTTGCATATCAAATTTAATATATTTGCATATTTTTTTGCACACCAAAACGGTTTTGTGGCTTGCCATTCAGCTTTTATAGTAAAACATATTTTTATTTGTCGTCAGGTATGCGGAAACAATTTTTGAAACAAAAAATCGAATCGAATTTATAGAAGAATAAAATCGGACTGCTCGTAAAAGAGTTCTAAATGTAGACAGCCCCAAACATTTTTGCAAAAGAAAGGCCAGAAGCAAACAAACTCGTTTAACTGGGCCTTAACTTGCAAATTTGTTCACATATAAAGCTTATGATTTAAGGAAAATACTAATGCTCCAATTTATGGAGAGGCGACAGATTCGATTGGATTTTGCACCTGAAAGGCACCGCCCGCTTTTGACACTAGCCAGGTGATAGCCGAATAAATTAAATTCACATTTTTATTGGCGTCGACTTTTTGTGCCCAGAACAATGCCAATAAAATAATAAAGGGACAGGCTTGTGTTTTCTAAAAGCGAGGAGAGAAATAATGGAAGAAATAATAGACACTGACAGATTTTGGTAAATAGATCGATGGACCCCAACAGGCATTTGCATAAAGCGATTCCAGAAATTCCCTCCCGTAGTTTTTGGTCCGGCTGGGCCGCATTTTGTTTTATTTATTTATTGATACGCCAACGTCTTCCGACCGCTATTATAGTATCTTCGATTCCGAGCTGGAAACTCTTCTCTGCTTTTTCGACCACTTTTTATGTCGCAGCTGCGTGCATCTTTTATGTGCGTGTGGCGCCCGAGACCTTGAAATTGTAGCTGGTTTGTTTTATTATGTTTACATTTGTTTAGTTTGCATATGACATTGCCACCAGCAACTGAGTTGGTTAAGTTGGCTGAGATGCCGATGGTGATGCTAAGATACTGGCCATTTGTCCACGATCCGCAACAGTTGGTGGGCAAAAGGTGGGGCCGCACACAAAGCCAAGACAAATTGTTTTTGACTTTAGGTTATTGCCTCGAGTGTGAATCTTGATTAGATTCTGGCCAGTTTGGGTTTTTGGTCTGGGTTAAACATATGCCAAACATGCGCATTACCATTAGATGTAGAACGAACGAAAGTCTTGTATGAGTTATGGTGATATCATGGAATCCGGGCGGATTTCCTAAGTGACCCCGTCTACGGTTTACTCATCGCTATAGTTATCCGTGATATCAATCAATATCTTAGTCATAACCGCGATTGGCATTCGCCACTATTGATTTGCAAATCGCTTGGGCTATCTTAAATATGGATCTTGGCTATTTCTCCGACGAGGCTCTTTAATAATGCAAATCGAAACCGTTTTCAGCGGCTTGGTTGCTGCTTCTGCCTCCCCTCTCTCCTCGAAATATTGCCAAAATAAAAAACAATAATTTTTATGATATCAATAAACCATGATGAAAAACGTGATAATCGCTGATCAGATTAAATGGTCGGCTGGCGCCAGCTGATTACCGCCGAATTCCGAGTAGCTATAGCTTCGGGTGCTGGTCAACAGTAAAAACCTCAAGGTCGCAACGGTTGTTAACTTTATGGCTTCTATTTTGCCAAGCGGTGTTTTTTTTTGCCACAGGTTAAATGGTTGAACTCCGGACAGATAGACAGATAGACAGATGGACGGACCGATAGATGGATGGACGGATGAATGAATGGATGCGCAAAAAAGGCTGCGCGAAAATTGATTTCTATCTATCTATTTGAAGCCATTGTTTTCCCCCCACCGCCGCATCATGGTAAAACGATGAGCTTTGCATGAGTATCGGTATCGGATGGCCAAACCTTAGAGCAGCCAGTTCCAAATACCATATTTCAAATACCAAAGGGGGACGCAATAATAGCCGGGAATTCCCAGCTAGAAATATGCGGCTGGACCAAAACTAAAAAGTGTAGAAAACCCGAGTCGTTTTCGAACTCGTTTCGGTGCTCCGCAAAATGTTTTAGCATATAAAATATGAAGAAAATCATTTCATTTACTGAAAGCATGACCATTTATAGTGGCTTTTGCTAAACGAGTTTTCAGCTGCTTTCTGGCCGTTTCCTCTGCCAAAGAGCCGGCTGCTCTATTGGATTACAACGTGATGGCATGCTCTTTGGCATGGGTACTTCCACTGCGAGATGGGGGATATTTGCATAAAGTCGACGCCAGCATTTGCAAGAATAGGGCGGCAAGACATCGATGCGCTTTGTTCGCGACGTTGTCGCCATTGTTTTATCTCCACCAGCGACGACGTCGTTCGAAGGTGGATAGCATTTCGAGAGACAAAAGCTGCCGAAGAAGTTACTTTGAAATGCGCCAACAATAACAACAACGGACTGGCAAGTCTTCATGAACTTGAGCGCAGTCTAGTGACACCGATCGCTGCTTTTCGTATAAATATTGGACCTTTCGGTGATGCAAACGTCAGACACAACCGAGTGGTCAAAGTCAAAGAACTAAATTCAAAATGCGTGCCTTCATCGTAAGTATCGAAGCGGTCGACCAGTACTCCCAGGATATCAAGGATTACAACTTCGTTTTGTCTCTCTGCAGGTTATGTGCTTGGTGGCAGTTGCCTGCGCCGATAAGCTCGGCTACAACTACCAGCCCGTGGGTCACTCCAGCTCTGGATTGTCCTTTGCTCCTGGCAGTGGTTCCATTGGAGGTGGCTCCCTTGGAGGAGGCTCCATTGGAGGTGGCTCCATTGGAGGTGGCTCCATTGGAGGTGGCTCCATTGGAGGTGGCTCCATTGGAGGTGGATCTCTGGGAGGTGGCTCCCTGGGAGGCAGCATTGGCAGCGGTGCCGGTCTGGGCGGTCTCAGCAGCTTCGGAGGTGGCAGCATCGGCGGCGGTGACTCCCTGAGTGCCCCCCGTCTCCTACAGCGCCCCTGCCCCCGCCGCCGAGCTGGAGAAGGAGTTCTTCACCTTCACCGCCAACGAGCAGGACTTCGATGAGCCCCAGCAGCTGGAGCGTGTGTCCTCCGCCCTGAACAAGGCCCTCCGTGTGGTCTTCATCAAGGGACCCGAGAACCGTGGCCTGGAGAACGCCGCCCTGGCTCTGGCCAAGCAGGCTGCCCAGCAGGAGACCGCCATCTATGTGCTGAACAAGCAGGCTGATATTGGAGATCTTGCCCAGAAGTTGAACGCCATCCGCAGCAACAACAACAACAAGCCCGAGGTGCACTTCGTCAAGTACCGCACTCCCGAGGACGCCGCCAATGCCCAGCGCGCCATCCAGGGTCAGTACGACCAGCTGGGAGGATCCAGCCAGGCCCACAACGGCGGTGTCGCCCCCGTCCTGAACTTCGCATCCGCCGGACCAGTGCGTCAGGCCACCGCCCAGAACCCCGACAACTCGTACCTGCCCTCATCGGTCTTCCGCCGCGTCTAAGTCGCTCGTTTCACTCGATTAGTCGATTCGAAAATGGCAGCGATCTTTGACTGACCTTAAATCCTAGTTATTGTTGACTAATGCTTAAATAAATTCAGTTTTTAAATTTTAAACCAGTTTTATAGTGTGTAATGCATTTCTCAACCAAATATCCTCACTCGCTCAGTTTAATGGCAAAGAAACTTTGCCAGTTCTTATATTTTTTCGTGAACTATTTTTCTTTCAAACTTTGAAAGTGAAAACAAGTAGTTAAATGAAAGGAGCTAGCTCTCTAACCAAACCTGTGCTTTGTCGGTTCAAGGTCAGGGAATGCGAAAAAGTGTTTTTGGTGTTTTTTTATTAAGTCAATAAATATCGATCTCCTTCGGAGTTTGTCTTAAGACATTTTTGTTATTCTACGTAGGTTCTGTTTGCGTGGTTTTTTTCTACTTTATAGCAGTACCATCTTGCTTTTAAAATTCAAAATGGTTAAAAGCATTCAGAGGAAAACATGAGATAATGGAGGGCGCAAAATTAAGTTTACAATTTACTATCTTATTATTTAAGTACTTTAAGTTATTCGGTAATCCTGGTTAAAAATATGTTGCATACTTGGAAGGGTTTTCTTGGCCATGATAAAAAAAAACACAATTTCTTAAATAATATCTTAATTACTATTTAAAGAGTAGTTAGCTTAAATGAAACCTTTCACCATCATAATTTGATTAAATATAGTCATTCTGTGGAATTTCATATTTTTAGGTTTTTTTTGGGCCACAAATAATAATAATTTTTGTTATTTTGTTTTGTTTAAACTTGCTATACAAACACTCAAAAGTATTAAAAAAGTTGTACAAGTTTTAAATATATTGTGCAGGTGGCTTCAAAAACCAAAAAAATATTTAAGCTTAGAGAATTATAAATCTAGATGATAGAATTTTATGCCTTTAGAAATTGTAAACAAAATATATTGTATATTAATATATATTGTATATTAATATTTCTGGCGGTAAACTGAACATTTTCTGGAAACTACTACAAAAGCGGATTGGTCCTTTTTGAAATTATGATTTCATGATCTTTTCAAGATTTTTAATAGGTGTTTACTGTAAATCGGCCCAAAATTACAATCGTAATTCTTAATAAATATTTATAGATTTTTAAACCACATATTTCCCCCCTTTGCTGAGCAGTAAATCTATGAGCTTTCAAAATTAAAAACTTCAAAATTTTGTATGTAAACAAACTAAATAATTTTTATTCGAAAACAACGTTTAACAGGGAGATTTTCTAGTGACGCAGGCGACTTAGAATGGAGGCGGGCAGGTAGTTGCTCTGGGGCACCTGTTGCGGAGCAGTGCGCACGGGAGCCGCTCCTTGGGAGGCGAAGTTGATGGCGTTGGCCACGCCCCCGTTGATGGACTGGCTGGTGCCGCCCAGCTGATCGTACTGCGACTGGATGGCCCGCTGGGCATTGGCGGCGTCCTCGGGAGTGCGATACTTGACGAAGTGCACCTCCGGCTTCTTGTTGGCGTTCTGCCGCACGGCATTGAACTTCTGGGCCAGCTCGTTGATGTCGGTCTGCTTGTGCAGCACATAGATGGCGGTCTGCTGCTGGGCAGCCTGTTTGGCCAGGGCCAAAACGGCGTTCTCGTAGCCTCGGTTCTCCGGCGACTTAATGAAGATCACACGGACGTTCTTCTTCACCGAAGCCAGGGCCTGGCGCAGGGCATCGCGATCCTCGAAGTCGTCATCGTTGGCATGGAAGCTGTAGAACTCCTTGTGAACTGACGCCTGTGGAGCGGCACTGTAGCTGACTGGACCGGCCAGTCCGGCGGTCTTGGTGACACCACTACCTCCTTCAATGCTAGCCGTCGCACCTTGCCCGTAATTGTAGCCGGACAAACTGCCGGCACTTGCCGCCGCCACAACGCATAGAATAATGAGGGCACGCATTCTCTGAACTGTTGCCTGCGAAGTATTCTAGAAGAATGCTGACCATATTATTCATTAACTAGCTTTTATACCGCCAACGCGAAGACGTTTAAAATTAGACTAGAAAATCTAGTCAATTGAGCCGTCTGGGTCCCGGTGGCGGAACACGGCGATCATCGATCTTCGCTCACGAATCGTGAATGGCCAGTGGCCATTGACCATCGGGTTTTCGGAATGCTGTTAATCTGCTAACATAATTTCGCTCTTAACACATTTAACACATTGTTTTGAGCAGAGCTAGCTTCAATAGCGCCGCCGACTTTGAGATGCGATTCCGATTCCGCCGGGCCCGTGTCCAAAATCCGAATGCGAGTGTGAGTACAAGTCCAGTCCGGTCGTTATCCGAACTATCGTGATTCACCCATAATTGGCTTATAATTTATGCACAAAACACCGAGCTATCGGACTCTTGCAGTCCAAAGTGGCTGGCCAGACTGTTTTGTTATATTTGCTTGAATATGTATACAGAACCGCTTATTTGTTAATGATTTCAACAAAAAAGTGATCGTCAGCTTAATAAAATTAATGATTAGATTTTGTTTTTATGGCTAATCAGGTTTCGATTGGGCATAAATCTTCATTGTCTTCGTATGTGGGTTGCACTTGAGATTCCTTTCTAATTGAACGTGACACACGACGGGCCTCGGAAACCAGGTCACCTAACAGTGGTTGGCATCTCCGCGACCTTGAGCTGTCGGCGGGAAGAACCAGTTCCCATCGGTTCGGGGGAGACCCATATTAATCGGTATTCCCCCCGGGCCAAGTGGGTGGATCCAATCCTGTAGTCGATTAATCTGGCGGCATACGAGTTGGCTTTTTGTCAGACAATTAGTTCAGCGATTTGTTTGGAAAGTCGCAGTGAATCTTAATGCAAATCTTAGGAAATACTCATAAAGGAAACTTGGCCAAGCCACCTTCCTTATCTCGATGTCATACAATCGAGATATTTATAGTCTGAAGGGCACTGTTTATATTTAACCCATCCGCAAACAAACACGCTAAACAAGGCGGTTTTAATGCACCATTAGCCTCTATGGCAAATCCGCTATAAAACTGCCACTCTATAAAACACATAAAGAAGACCTTTGTTTGAGTATTCGTTTTTAAATTTGAAATTTATTGGTGTAATTATGCATTAGTCAACAACAAGTAACAGGAAGAGTGAGTTCTTCAGTCGAAGTTCGCTTAATCTAATAGGGTCCAAAGATGGCACATCTTAGAATCGCAGGCGACGGAAGACGGAAGTGGGCAGGTAGGCGTTCTCGGGGATCTGGGCGTTGGCCTTCTGGACGGGACCGGCGGAGGCAAAGTTCAGTGCGGGGGCCACACCACCGTCATGAGCCTGGCTGGATCCTCCCAGCTGGTCGTACTGCGACTGGATGGCACGCTGGGCGTTGGCCGCATCCTCGGGAGTGCGGTACTTGACGAAATGCACCTCGGGCTTGTTGTTGTTGTTGCTGCGGATGGCGTTCAACTTCTGGGCAAGATCTCCAATGTCAGCCTGCTTGTTCAGCACATAGATGGCGGTCTCCTGCTGGGCAGCCTGCTTGGCCAGAGCCAGGGCGGCGTTCTCCAGGCCACGGTTCTCGGGTCCCTTGATGAAGACCACACGGAGGCCCTTGTTCACGGATCCAGCAACACGCTCCAGTTCCTGGGGCTCATCGAAGTCCTGTTCGTTGGCGGAGAAGGTGAAGAATTCCTTCTCGAGCTCAGCAGAAGGAGCGGGGGCGTTGTAGGAGACGGGGGCGCTCAGGGAATCGCCACCTCCAAGACCACTCAGACCTCCCAGACCGGAATCGATTCCGCCTCCTAGGGAGCCACCTCCAAGGGATCCACCTCCAAGGGATCCAACGCCAAGGGAGCCTCCTCCCAAGGAGCCACCTCCAATGCTTCCTCCTCCAATGGATCCTCCTCCAATGGAGCCACCTCCAATGGAGCCGCCTCCAATGGAGCCACTGCCAGGAGCAAAGGACAATCCAGAGCTGGAGTGACCCACGGGCTGGTAGTTGTAGCCGAGTTTATCGGCGCAGGCAACTGCCACCAAACACATAACCTGCGACACGAGGGGGAAGTGAAGTGTTATCCTGGTGTATAATCCTTTAAGTCCTTGATCGCACTACTTACGATAAATGCGCGCATCTTGAGCTGATTGCTGGTTCTTTTGCTTTGAGGTTTGAACTGCTTGTGTCTCTGGCTAGGAGCGATCTTTGTTATTTATACAAACCCATTTTGGAGGCTGATAAAGACAAAGATACCGCCGCGGCGTCTTCGCTGCACGGAGATCTCTTTGAAGCCACTGTGTTGTGCCGCCTACAAAGGTTTTTGCTTCTTCGGTTTTTTTTAATGTGCGCTGTGGAATTTTTTGGCTGCGTTTGAATGGGCAGTGTCCGGTCGTGGTGGGTTATTCAAATATTTCGAGTTTCGTCCGATTTTTTACAAGAATTCATATAAAATTATAAAATTAATATGTCGCGAGCACAACGGAATGAGTTTATCATGCAGATGGGTCATCATTAGGTATAATATAAATAAATAAATATTTCTCACAAATTCTTCGGCAAGGCTAAGAGCTTGTTTTATGTAGGACATCTGCACTTGGGTTTTCCGACTAAACGACAAGCGTTTAGTTATCATAATCGTTGTGGACACCTCTGCTTAGTTCTGATTTATGGGCATGATGCAAGCGCTATAATTGGCGGGTCGTCTAATGAGGTGTTTGAAATGCCGCCCCCAGTTCATTGATTCTTTTTTGTTTGCATACATAATTTACTTATTAGAAAACTTATTTAAAACGCTTTTACAAAAAATATGCTTTTATCTAATAATTTGGCAATTTTGTTTTTAAATGTTGGCCGATATCGAAAATATGCGGAAGTTTTGAAATACGTCATTCAACAATTTGAATAAAAATCCTTGAATTAATAAAATAAAATTGTTTTGCCATTATTCAAAGTAAAGGCTATCAGGAAGTTGGATTTCGAAAATTATTTTAAGTTCCTGTAGGATAGTAATATTTACATAGATCAGATGTAGGCCTATTAAAGCTATTTTATTTCTTGCAGAATTTTTAGTGCCTAATAGTATTGAGTATGGTATAGAGTATAGACAAAACAAATTTTATGTTCAAATTAATTAAATTTTAAAACCAAAATATTAAAAACAATTTTGTTATTGAAGTCTTAAATGTATTCCTCAAAAGCTTCTTGCATTTCCAGTTGAGTTTAACTTAAATACAAATCTTAAAATTTTGGTAATGGCAGAATTCTGATGAAACAAAATATATTTTCTAATTTCCAGACAATTGAACAACAATTAACAGTTTGGTTTTAAATTTTTAATATTTTTATTCAATAGGTTTCAACAATAAGTTTTAACAAAGACATACTACGGCCTCATCACGAAGTGGTTTAAAAATATTTACAAGCGACGACGGAAGACGGAAGTGGGCAGGTAGGCGTTCTCGGGGATCTGGGCGTTGGCCTTCTGGACGGGACCCGCGGAGGCGAAGTTCAGGGCGGAGGCCACACCACCATTGTGGGCCTGAGAGGATCCTCCCAGCTGGTCGTACTGCGACTGGATGGCACGCTGAGCATTGGCTGCATCCTCGGGGGTCCTGTACTTGACGAAGTGCACCTCGGGCTTGTTGTTGTTGTTGCTGCGGATGGCGTTCAACTTCTGGGCAAGATCTCCAATATCGGCCTGCTTGTTCAGCACATAGATGGCGGTCTCCTGCTGGGCAGCCTGCTTGGCCAGAGCCAGGGCGGCGTTCTCCAGGCCACGGTTCTCGGGTCCCTTGATGAAGACCACGCGCAGACCCTTGTTCACGGAGCTGGCCACACGCTCAAGTTCCTGGGGCTCATCGAAGTCCTGTTCGTTGGCGGAGAAGGTGAAGAACTCCTTCTCGAGCTCAGCAGAAGGAGCGGGGGCGTTGTAGGAAACGGGGGCGCTCAGGGAATCGCCACCTCCAAGTCCACCAAGACCAATTAGACCTCCAATGGCGCCTCCTCCCAGGGAGCCGCCTCCCAGGGATCCACCTCCCAGGGAACCTCCTCCGATGAGGTCTCCTCCGATTGATCCACCTCCGATAGATCCACCTCCGATAGATCCACCTCCAATGGAGCCACCTCCAATGCTGCCACTTCCAGGAGCAAAGGACAGTCCGGAGCTGGAGTGGCCCACGGGCTGGTAGTTGTAGCCGAGCTTGTCGGCACAGGCGACTGCCACTAGGCACATTACCTACGAGGAATCAAGGGTTATCCATTAGTTCTAGTTTCGACGGGTGTCCAGGCTGAACCACTTACGATGAAGGCGCGCATCTTTAGTTGGGAATTGAGGTTCTCTTGGTTCGGAGCACAAGTTGCTTCTGCCTATGACCACGGCGGCGTTTATTATTTATACCAAGCCAACTTCGAAGCTGGCGGCGCAGCTTCTCGAAGACAAAGCGCTGATGCTGCTAAATGTTTTTTCCGCCTACAAAATAGGCAGCGCTCGGCTTTTGTTCGAGCTCGCAGAGCAATTCAGCTTTGCATAAATGTTATTATAAGGAAAAGCGATAAAATCATGGCAGCATAAAAATGCAATAACCGCTGACAAAGCCAGAAACTTAGAAGATCTTGAATCAGGTTTTGTAATTGCACACATGATAGGACGATGTAGAAGCGGACATTACACCGAAGCTTGGCAACAACAATGAAGTTGAGTATCTTTATTGCATCCCTAATGCAAAAGGCATTCGTTGCCTTTTTTATACCCGGTACTCGTCGATTAAAAGTTGAAAAGTATGTAACAGGTAGAAGGAAGCTTTTCCGATCAGGTAAAGTATTTATATCTGTTTGTCTGTCTGTCTGTCCGTCTGTATGAACGTCGAGATCTCGGAAACTCTGCTGGTGCTCGGCCGCTGCTCTGCCGGTAAGCAGAAGTTTGAAGTTCGTTGGCTGAGAAACGGGTATCTAATAGTGGGAAAACTCTTCTCGTTCTTTCTTGTTTTTAGTTGTGTTAGTAAAAAAACAAGGCACATGTTATTGGTTTATATCGATTTTCGTTTTTATTCAATTACATTTCTACAAAACATTTAACAACTGTCGGCTTTGGAGGTCCTTAACGGATGCGCAGGCGTCGCAGGATGTTGGCGGGCAGGTAGGAGTTGCTGGTGGCGGCGGCCGGGGGCGAGTAGTTGGCGCCATGGCGGGCGGGGGCTGCGGGGGCGGCGGAGGCGAAGTTGATGGCGTTGGCCACGCCGCCGTTGATGGACTGGCTGGATCCGCCCAGGTTATCGTACTGCGATTGGATGGCACGCTGCGCATTGGCCGCATCCTCGGGCGTCCTGTACTTGACGAAGTGCACCTCTGGACGCTGGTTGGCGTTCTGGCGGGCGGCATTGAAGCGCTGGGCCAGATCTCCGATGTCGGTCTGCTTGTTCAGCACATAAATGGCGGTCCTCTGCTCTGCAGCCTGCTTGGCCAGGGCCAGGGCGGCGTTCTCCAGGCCACGGTTCTCGGGTCCCTTGATGAACACCACGCGCAGACCCTTGTTCACGGAACCGGCGATCTTCTGGGAGGCCAGGGGATCCTCGAACTGGCTCTCGTCGGCCTCGAAGGTGTAGTACTCCTTGTTCAGCTCGCTGGAGGCCGAGTAGTCGGACACCGGGCTGCTGGCCGAACCGTAGTCGGCACCACCACCCACTGCGTTTCCGGAGAAGCTGGGCACATTGTCGGAGGCGGCTCCGGAGAATCCAGCTCCGTAGTTGTACTGGGCACAGGCGGCACCGATCAGGCAGAAGGCGATGAGGAAACGCATAGTTGTGAAGATTTTGCTAAGGCTGGGTATGCTGAACAGGCAAAGGCCAAGACTGAATCCTGAGATCGAGGCGCTCGGCTTTTATACCCACGCGGGCGTAGTTAGAACCGCCTTAGAACAATAAGCGTCATCATTCCCGTCGGTTTGCTCCATAACTCAACTAGTTTTTTGTTGTATGTTAAGCGGTGCGCTTATGAAATGATTATGCAAAACTATCCTAACATTATTGGCCATCCATCCAGTCGCCGACCCCAGACTTTCTGCCCAATTGCAGACGCGTTCTGCTCGACCGGTTCATGGCGCCGCGAATTATTTTTAGCCCGGCCAAAACTGCTCGGAATTCGATTGGGGAAAATGCTGCAAAACTATTAAACCCGTTTCCAAAAAAAAAAAAAAAAGTAAAAGACGGCTATAAATGTTCTGGCGGTCGTTAAAGTTGAACACAATGTGATGCATTCTTGGAGTTCCGCCTACGAGTCGATAAAAGCTTAATTTATGCATTCTCTTATGCTGATTCCTTTGATAGTTTATGATATTTTGTTTTCTTTGTTTGTCGCTTTTCGGCTATCGAAAGTGGGTCTAGAACTTCAAGCAACTTTTTAGTTTCAGGTTCAAAGTCAAAGAGAATGTCGGAAGATTACTTTGATCTCCATAGAAACCTGTTTAAAATTGCCTGGGAATTCCCAACAAATTCCCTATAAAAAGAGCCAGCAAAATAGAGAAGCTCCTCAGTATGAAACGGTCTCCTGTTGAGAGCATTAAAAATATACAAATGACCTATAATCCAACCGATGGCTAGTAGTAACAAGGGCACTTGTAACGTGATCCCAACACAATTATAGCGGTGATAAACTCATTTTTTGATCTGCGTTACTTTTCAACTGATTTCTACAAATGTATTTTTTGACAAATTTTTATATATTTTAAGGAATACAATTTTTCAGTTTTAAATATTTTTGCATTGTCATAGGGAAAATACAAAAATGTTGGTGATAAAATAAAATCATGATTTATGTTGAAAGTTGTTTTTGTTGTATTTTAATAACACGGCCGAACGACAAACTATCCACAGCTTAGAAATCAAAGGATGATTCTAAAAATATAACTATTTTTTTCAAATTTCTTCTTCTATTGTAAACACATTTGTTTTTGCGGGCTATAATACTCATATCAATCATAATAAAATTGCAAATAATTTAATAAAGAGTTCAACGAGGTATGACATTTCATATTTGGGTACTTTGAGTAGAAAAATATATTTTAAAAGATATTATTATTTACAATACGGTTAATAGGAGCAGACAGGAGTAAATGAAAAACATTTTATTTTAACGAAAATGCTAAAAAAATGTCATATAAATTTCAATATAATGTAGACTTTTACGAGTTCAACAAGGAATTCCATATTTGGACCATAATTTTTACTTTTATCGCAAAAATGTTTTTTTTGTATGGTAAAATATCAAGACCGTTGGTTAAAACTCAGTTTGTATTACTAATAAGTTTTCGTTTTATTTAAACAATAAAGCAACATGATAACTAGACAACAAATCGAAACAACGGCTGGTTGGCGATTAAAGACGGAAACGGCGGAAAATGTTGGCGGGCAAGTAGCTGGGACCAGGAGCACTGGCAGCGGCGGTCTCTTGGTGGGCGGGCTGGGAGGCGAAGTTCAGGGTGGAGGCCACACCGCCGTTCTGCGACTGGGAAGATCCGCCCAGCTGGTCGTACTGACCCTGGATGGCACGCTGGGCATTGGCCGCATCCTCGGGAGTGCGGTACTTGACGAAGTGCACCTCGGGCTTGTTGTTGTTGTTGTTGCGGATGGCATTCAGCTTGTTGGCCAGATCTCCAATATCAGCCTGCTTGTTCAGCACATAGATGGCGGTTTCCTGCTGGGCAGCCTGCTTGGCCAGAGCCAGGGCGGCATCCTCCAGGCCACGGTTCTCGGGTCCCTTGATGAAGACGACGCGCAGAGCCTTGTTCACGGCATTGGAGACCTGATCGGAGGCAGCCGGGTCGTAGAAGTCGCCCTCGTCGGCGGAGTAGGTGAAGAACTCCTTCTGGAGCTCGGCCTGGGGAGCAGCATAGTTGGGGGCAGCAGCCGACTGGGATCCCTCGAAGGAGTCAGCAATGGGAGCGGCGGCAAAGGATGCACTGGGTGCACTGGGTGCAGCCGCGAAGGCAGGGGCATCGTTGCTGGCCAAGCCAGATGGCTGAAAGCTTAATCCAGACGAGGAGTGGGCCACGGGCTGGTAGTTGTAGCCCAGTTTGTCAGCCGTGGCCAGGGCAATAAGGCACAGGACGATAAAGGAACGCATGTTGATTGTTTGGATGGCAAAGATGATTGGTTACTGACTTATCTCGTCGATCTCGAGGCTTTTATAGGTGCAAGATTCAGTTCTTCGACTGCATTATGAGGCGATATGAATTATGAAGAGTTCACATTTGCCTTAAAAATGCATAAATAAGAGATTAAAATGCGGTTTCTTTATAATATATTTTTTACGATTCGTCACACTGCTGCTGTGGCTGCAAATTTTTGCATGGCTCTGCAAATAAAACCGAATATAGCCATGCAAATTAAACGCCGGCCAGAATTGGCCAGCTTTCAGCTTTTGTAGAGGGGTTCGGAGTCCGATTTGGATTGCCAAATCAGATGGCGCCAAGTAATTTATTAAGAGACCAATTATCGCGTTATCTGATTGGGCGCTGACAAGGCGCAGCACTGCAGTTGTTAATTAGCGGTCGGCCTAGCCGATCGATACGGCAAAAGATGGCGGCTATATTTAGCGATGAGTCCGATGTCCGCTGTCCGTTGTCCGCTGCTTCACTTCCGGCGGACGGACGGACGGACGGATGGACGGATGACTGCGGAAGGTCGCCTCCACCCGCATCATTTGCATAAAGCTGAAACTCGAAGACCAAGACGACAACACAAAGCCGCTGAATAAGGCAATAATAATTTGGCGAATCGTTAAAATATTTATTTTTGGCAGCAGTAACGCGACTAGGCGCGCCTCATTTGCATGTGAAACGGCCTGTCAAACGTTTTGTTTGCTCTCCGACCGATTTGGGTGACATTTTTCATCCCGGACGAAGTCGGATACAGATACAGATTCAGATTCCGATTCCGATACAAATTCAGAGCCGTATTCCATCTAAATTGCCCCAAATGGGATTTACGATACTCGGTCCACTGGTTCGCCGGTTTTTATAGCCAGATTTTATTGATTTCAACGATAAAGATACATGAAAATACCGAATTGGCAAGGTTGTACCATAGCACTGGCCAAAAGCGGCGCAGAAGAATACGCGAGTTATTGATTAAGCCAGCATATTGAATTTAATATGAGTTTTATGGCGCCAGCTCCGGCTCTGCCCAGCTCCATACGTGGACGTCATCGTCTTCCTTCCGAGCCACGGAGCTGACCTCACGGTGCAGCCACCCGCTTCGCTTGCATATCTTAGCAGGGTGGCACGGCCTGATCTAGGTGGTTTGTGGTTTGTGTGCCATAATTAGACCGCTTTATGCAGAGCGTTTTTGCATGGCGGTGTCATCTGCATAAAAGCCAAAGAACCATCTGACATCAGCATCAAATCCCGCATTCAGCTCACCCACTCAACATGCGTCAGTTCTCCGCAGTCCTGTGCCTGTGCCTCGCCGTCTTGGCCAGAGCCGACAAACTGGGCTACAACTACCAGCCAGTGGCCCACTCCTCGTCGGGTCTGAGTTTCCAGCCATCTGGCTTGGCCAGCAACGATGCCCCTGCCTTCGCGGCTGCACCCAGTGCACCCAGTGCATCCTTTGCCGCCGCTCCCATTGCTGACTCCTTCGAGGGATCCCAGTCGGCTGCTGCCCCCAACTATGCTGCTCCCCAGGCCGAGCTCCAGAAGGAGTTCTTCACCTACTCCGCCGACGAGGGCGACTTCTACGACCCGGCTGCCTCCGATCAGGTCTCCAATGCCGTGAACAAGGCTCTGCGCGTCGTCTTCATCAAGGGACCCGAGAACCGTGGCCTGGAGGATGCCGCCCTGGCTCTGGCCAAGCAGGCTGCCCAGCAGGAGACCGCCATCTATGTGCTGAACAAGCAGGCTGATATTGGAGATCTGGCCAACAAGCTGAATGCTATCCGCAACAACAACAACAACAAGCCCGAGGTGCACTTCGTGAAGTACCGCACTCCCGAGGATGCCGCCAATGCCCAGCGTGCCATCCAGAGTCAGTACGACCAGCTGGGCGGATCTTCCCAGTCGCAGAACGGCGGTGTGGCCTCCACCTTGAACTTCGCCTCCCAGCCCGCCCCCGCACCCGCTCCCGTCCATGCCGCCAGCAGCCAGGCGCCCAGCCAGTTCCTGCCCGCCCCACAAGCCGAGGCCACCGCCCCCATCTCCTCGTACGTGCCACCTGCCACACCTGGAAGCTCCTACCTGCCTGCCAACATTCTGCGCCGTCTGCGGTTCTGAGTTCTGAGTTCTGAATTTTGAGTTCAGAGCGCGAGGGCATTGGGCCATTCAAAATTCCTTTGTTATTGTTGAGATTTTTATACGAAATAAAATTGTTTTTTAATGTAAATTGTCAAATGGCTTGCGGATCTTCTGGGCTAACATTCCTAGGCATATTAGATTTTCGATCTTCGGCATTTTCGCATACGTCAACTGGTCAACTGGCAAACGCGAAAACGGGTTCGAGCCGCATTGAATTATGAGTCCGTGCGCCTAAGCTGTTGCTGTTTGTGAAAATTGCAAATGAGCGGAAACCTAAGATGTTTTCTCTGCCGGCGATTTGTTTAATCTCGAGCGTTATAATCCGGTGTATAACATATGGCCCATCGGCTACTTGGCTGCCCATGCTAATGCCCATGCCCATGCCCACGCACTTTGGCGGTTCGGAATTAAGATGGCTTCGCTTGACAAATTGCACACCATGTTGGCCGACAGATGACAATGCCCAACATACAAAGTCCAAAATCCATTGGGCCGAGCAATTTAAAATTATTAAGCTGGGAAATTAGCCCAGTCTTACTTTCAATCATCCCCGGCTCGATTTGCATAACAAAATGGGCGAACAAAAGAATGCGGCTACTGCATGGTCGAACAATTTGGAGCTGCTTGGCAGCCGCAGCCCTTTGTCCACTGATTTGCATAAAAATGTCGGTTGTTTGTCCGTAAGCTGCTGCAAGTTCATCAAAATTTAATCAACTCCACCGCCAACGCCGCAGCTTCTGCTTCTGCTTCTAACCAAACTCTTGCTTCAAGCCAAGCCAAAGCCGCCAAGAGGAAAAAGAAAAACAGAAAGACAGAAAAACAGAAAAACAAAAAAACAGGTTAGGCCCGCAGACAATGCTCACCTTATCGCGATCTCCAGCACGCTGTCACTCGCCTGTTCTGATTGACGCCCATGTCGAGCCGACCATATGCCATATAAACCGCCCGGCGACTCCACATCGACATCATTCTGACTTCCGACCTCAGAGCTCCAACTAAAACAGCAACAGCAGCAAAATGCGCGCCTTCATCGTCCTGTGCCTCGTGGCCCTCGCCTCGGCCGACAAGCTGGGCTACAACTACCAGCCCGTGGGCCACTCCAGCTCTGGATTGTCCTTCGCTCCCGGCAGCGGCTCCCTGAGCCTGGGAGGAGCCGGTGGTGGCTCCCTCGGCGGCAGCAGTGGTTCCTTGGGACTGGGAGGAGGCAGTGGCTCCTTGGGCGGCAGCAACTTTGGCAGCCTGGATGGCGGTCTGGGCGGTGGCTCCCTGGATCTGGGATCCTCTGGTCTTGGATCCTCTGGACTGGGTTCATCTGGTCTGGGATCCTCCGGTCTTGGCTCCTCTGGACTCAGCGCCCCCGTCTCCTACAACGCCCCTGCCCCCGCTGCCGAGCTGGAGAAGGAGTTCTTCACCTTCACCGCCAACGAGGAGGACTTCGATCAGCCCCAGGAACTTGAGCGTGTGGCCAGCTCCGTGAACAAGGGTCTGCGCGTGGTCTTCATCAAGGGACCCGAGAACCGTGGCCTGGAGAACGCCGCCCTGGCTCTGGCCAAGCAGGCTGCCCAGCAGGAGACCGCCATCTATGTGCTGAACAAGCAGGCCGATATTGGAGATCTTGCCCAGAAGTTGAACGCCATTCGCAGCAACTCGAACAACAAGCCTGAGGTGCACTTCGTCAAGTACAGGACTCCCGAGGATGCGGCCAATGCTCAGCGTGCCATCCAGTCGCAGTACGACCAGCTGGGAGGAACCTCTCAGGCCCACAACGGTGGCGTGGCCAACGCCCTGAACTTCGCCTCCGCCGGTCCCGTCCAGAAGGCCAACGCCCAGATCCCCGAGAACTCGTACCTGCCCTCCTCGGTGCTGCGCCGCCTGCGCTACCGCCATTAGGACGTGCCATAAGCTCAGCTCTTAGCTGCTCCATTTGTTGACTTTTGTGTTATCTATTGATTTGTCGAACGAACCCTCAAATACAATTCTTTTTTTACCCCAGCTACTGGCTAATTCTTTCCTGGGAACTGTGGAAACTGGCCTGGCCATAAAGTAGACGGTGTCGAGCCGGATATGTTTGATGGCTGAACCAGTGGAAAATTGCAGAGCTCGGCTCGGTGTTTATTACATGCCCTGAGTGGCCATAAAAATTCCAATGCGATGGCGCCAAATGGAATGCAAGTGGAAATCAATAAAAATTAACATGTTTTGGGAAGGCAGGCAAAACAATCGACGAAAATTTTTTATCATAATTAAAATGTTAATCTGCGTGAAGTAAAAGGTTAGACAAACTATTAGCGCCCAAATTTATGGCAACTGCAAGACGGAACCAAGACGGGGCATACATAATGTATGAGTGATAACAGAATGGCCGAATGGCCGAATGGCTGAATGGCCAACAACAAAGAGCCAAAGTGGTCAACGACAGCTCTTTTCAAGAGCACCCACTACGGCCGATTAGCATAAGCAGAAAAGTTTGTTTAGAAAAATCATAAAAAATTATGCTCGCTGGCAAGTGATTCAGCAGAAATAAAATAACACCGCAAGACAGAAAAAATGAATAGATAACACGGCTACTAAAAGACGGATAAAGCAAAAAACAAGCGATGACAAAAGGCGAATGGGAAATGGCCAAGTGGGAGATTGGCTGATGAAGGAGCAATGGGCAAACTGTTCGGAATGAGGTGCAAAACCAAAGACAACCAATTAAAAAAACAAATGATGGCAAAAAGGAAAAAAAAGTGGAGTTGCAAACTGCAGCGATTTCGCATAAAAGACGTGGGCGTCGTAGAGTTGGACATACTTGCCTTCGATCCAGCAATCCGAGCGGAGTTATCCACCTACTAAACACACACTCATCAAGATGCGCGTCCTTATTGTAAGTACTCTTCTTCAAGGATCAAAGATGATGGGCTCAAGCTGATCCTTCTGTCTTTCTTGTCATATTTCCAGGCTCTGTGCCTTGTGGCTGTTGCCAGTGCCAGGAGTGGCTACAACTACCAGCCTGCTGCTTCGGCTCCCATTGCCACCTCCTTTGCTCCCTCGGGATCGAGTTACTCCCCCGCGGTGGCCGCCAGCCAGGATGCCCCCGCCGAAACCTATGTGCCCGCCGCCGCCCCCGAGGCTGCTCCCTCCGCTCCCGTGGCCACCAGCTATGCCGCTCCCCAGGCCGAGCTGCAGAAGGAGTTCTTCACCTACACCGCCGACGAGCAGGACTTCAATGAGCCCGCCGGCTCCGAGCAGGCCTCCAGCTCCTTGAACCGCGCTCTGCGCGTTATCTTCATCAAGGGACCCGAGAACACTGGCCTGGAGAATGCCGCCGTGGCTCTGGCCAAGCAGGCCGGCCAGCAGGAGACCGCCATCTATGTGCTGAACAAGCAGGCCGACATCGGGGATCTGAGCAACAAGCTGAATGCCATCCGCAACAACCACAACAACAAGCCCGAGGTGCACTTCGTCAAGTACAGGACCAACCAGGATGCCGTGAATGCCCAGCAGACCATCCAGTCGCAGTACGACCAGCTGGGCGGATCCTCCACCATCCAGAACGGAGGCGTGGCCCCCGTCCTAAACTTCGCCTCGCAGCCAGCTGCCCATCAGGTGGCCGCTCCCGCCGCTCCCGGCAGCTCCTACCTGCCCTCATCCGTCCTGCGATTCCGCCAGTAGGGCATCGAACTGCTGACCCATGACCCCATCAACGATTCCTACGCCTCCATGTTGCCTAGTTTGTAAATCTTTCGAATTTCAAAATGCCTCTCCACAATAAAATATTATTAATATACACGAGTGTTGTAATCTGCTTGTGGGAATCGCGAATTTCGTAACCCAAAATACGGGGCGACATTGAACTATTTACCCTATAAGGCGGGTGGTTGTTCCCATTTGGTTATCTTCAGTCAACCACTTTTGAGGGCCAGAAATTATAAAATGCTTTGACCGCTTGCGAATTGGCAACAAATGTTTTTTACTCTTCGCCGTGCTTATATCATGCTTGGAATAGTGGTGAGTTTACCTGGAATTTGGCCAAACTTGGCATATGCTTATAGAGTTTGTCCCAGTTTCTCTCTTTTTTGGCTGGCACTTTGGCGGAACTGGGCTACCAGTACCAGCAGAATAGTTACGGAGCAGCTGTCCATGGCTATGGGAATGAAGTTGCTTTGCCCGAGGAGAAATTCAATGCGCAACCAGGAAATCACTACCAGGAGAATGCCGACTTCCATAAGCACTTCTATGCCTTTGAGGCACCCTACGATTCGGCGGAGGAGGCTGATCTAGTGGAAACCAAACTGGCATCCCTCACCGAGAAGAACCTCCAGGTGGTGTTCATCAAGGCGCCCGAGAACAAGGCGGTGGTGGGTGCCCTGAGCGCCCTGGCCAAGCAAACCAGTGAGGATAAGACGGCTATTTATGTCCTCAACAAGCAGACGGATGCCCACGAACTGGCTAGCGAAATAGCCGCCTTGAAGGCGCATCACAAGCACAAGCCGCAGGTTCACTTTGTCAAGTACAGGACGGAGGCGGAGGCTGCCCAGGCCCAGCAGTACATTCAGGCGCAGTACGGCGGGGGAGCAGCGGTTCCCCAGTCATCGCAGGCGTCATCCTTGGGCTACTACCCGGAGCAGCAGCCGCAATACGAGCAGAACTTGCCAGCTTCCCAAGCAGATTACCTGCAACCAGCTCAGCAATCTGCCTATCAACCGCAGTCGGGCTACCTGCCGCCCCTGCCCAGTTACTCCTCCATTTCGCAGGGCTACAATGCAGCAGGAGCCTCCAATGTGGGACAGATTGACCTGCCACCTGTTCCCGAAGCTCAACAGGATCTGTCGGCCAGCTACAACAACGAGGCCAGCGTGGACTTTCGCTCCGCCAGATCAAGACGCTTTGATTTCCGAGCCAATGAGCGACGTAGATCTGGCAGTCGCATGGTCTTTCCCACGGAGGTGGGTTCCTCCAAATCATACCTCACCTCGAAACCAGGCAAACGCCTGCGGCTCTAGGTGATGCCCAACACACCAAATTAAGACATTAAATTTTGTGCCATAAGTTAACTAGTTGTAGCTGCGAATAAAAACCAAGATATATCAATGAATGGAAACCTGTGTTTTCTTCTACTAAGCTCGATTTCAGCTGGAGTTGTTAATTTCGGTAAGCAGCTTATCGGAGATGCCAGCCTGAGCTCAGGAAAAGACGAGTAAGAGACTGGCAAAAACATCAATGTGACGGGTAAATTAACAAATCAGTAGCCATAAAATGCCGGGCCATAAAAATAGCTAGCAATCATGAGTGAAAGTAGAGCTGTGGAGGTGTATATAGTAATCGGCAGGGGCCACCGTTGGCAGTCAAAACAAATGGCTTCGACTATGACAGGCGACAACAATGGCGCCCCAATAGCATATGAAAATATTTTATAACTAATTCAAATGGGGAGCTCATTTGTAAATTTTATGCGAATTAAATTCAAGTTCAACCTGGGGCCCGGGTCAAACGGACAACCATACACTGTGCCTTTTGTTGTGGCTCTTGCAAGCCCCCGAAATTTGCATTTCAAAATTGAACGACATTAACATGGATAATCGGAGCAGGCAGCAAACACAGACGCAGAAAACCAGAGCAAACGTTTGCAGAAATCTTTTATGGAGTAAAACAAATGCCAAAAAGCGACATAAAATAAAATCATAACGAGAAACGCTGCTGCCGAGAAGTCAGCTTACTTTCGATCTGCTATTTGTTTGTGTCGTATATAAGGATGGTTTTGTTGCTGGGACTGGATTATAACCGAGCGACGCTTCAAGCGGTAAAAATGGCAAAAAATCAGCTGATGCGGAGTATCACAGCCGGGCGCTCCTTGTTGGTAAGTTGGAAAGCAGGAAGGTGGTTTTAACTGGATATTATATCTGTTAGTACTTGTAGTTTCTTTGGCTGTTTCTGGGCCTGAGTTATGGCTTGGGCGATGTCTACTTGCCGGCTGGAAGAGATGTGGCACCTGGACGCCAGTTGGCCACGGAGTACTTCACCTATGATGCTCCCCAGGAGGAGGATCAGGCTGCTCCCTGGCAATCAGCCAGACAACTGGCCCAGGTTCTCTCCCCGCCGCAACAGGTGGTCTTCATTCGCACACCGGAAACCAATCTCTTCTCACTGACGGCCAAACAACTGGCAGTCAACAGTCCACTGGACATCTTCGTGCTTCACCGCCTGGCGGATGCAGATGCTCTGGCCCAACAGCAGGCTGCCATTCAGCAGCAGGCCACCGAGAAACCCTCGGTGCACTTTGTCAAGTACAGAACTCCGGCGGATGTCACCAGAGCTCTGAGTGCTCTGAGGAGCGACTACGACAGGCTGCCGGGAAACAGTGTTAACCATGCCGTTGAAAAGGCGCATGTTCTTCAACTGAATCCACAGCCCACAACTGAAACACCCGTGATCTTCAAGATCCGGCCGAAAGACAGCGCCGACTATGAAGTCCACGAACAGGCCACCGAACTGGAGACTGCCAAATTGCAGGCGTTATTCCGGGACTATCTGCCACCGGGAAAAAGACGTTAGTTAACTAAGGGCTTAGTTGTGCCAAGTGCCAAAGATTGTTTACAAGTAAATTAAATTAAACGCTAATTAGTGAAAATTATTGAACTGTTTCTGTACACTTTTTATGAGTGGAAACTTTTAGCTTACTAATTCGGCATATTCATTAAAAAATTATGAAAAACTATTGAACTATTTACTACAGTTTTTGTTGCCATTTTGTTTTAATTACAATTTAACACTGACCCCAAGAAATTCGCTTTTGGGTTCGTTATTTATCCAATTTAATTCGATTTTGAATGTAGTCAATTTTTTTTGTGGCTAACTCTTTTTTTAGTAAGCCTTCAGAATTAGATTTAATCGTTAATAACAGCATTTAAGCTGATTATTAGAGTTATTTTAAATAATGAGTTTGATGATTTTGTATTATTATTAATTTCTAGCAACATAGTAACATCTTTTTTGGTGATTATAACTTCGCAGCTATTTAGTCAGTGGGTTGCTCATTAATTAATCAATGAAAAACGGTTGAATAATTTGCTACATCAACAGAAACAACAAATTACCATTTGGTTTTAATAACAATGTAATACTGACCCCCAGAAATTCACTTTTGAATTCGATATTACCAATGCAGTATGAACATTTTTTGTAAGCCTTCGATATTTTTTTAACAATTTTGTGAAACTCATTTTTTTGGGTGATTATTACTTTGCAGCTATTTATTCAGTAAGCTGCTCATAAATAACTCAATGTACAAAGAATGCCAACTTTTTGTAAACAAATTTAATTTAAATTTAATTGTTATGGCGAGGCTGGTGAGCTGGTCGAAGGTGGCTGTTTATCTATAGCTTTCCATTATGAATAATTAATTACTCAACCTAACAGCGTAACATTTTACTTCTGAGTTTTTGGCCCACACTTTCAGGATAATCTTCAAAGTATCTCTTAGATAATCATTAAGGTGTTGGTAACCGACTCCCGCCGCCAGCGCCTCAAATGTTTTCTTAAGCAAATGTCGCCGACGCCGTTGTCGCTGGAAAACTTTTTAATGAGCTGCGCGCGGAGTTTTCCCGCAGCTCGACTCCTCCCACATGGGAGAGAATCGCTATCCCCTTTCCAAGGCGGTACTTTAAGAATGTTTCAACTAAATTACGCCACCATGCAGGCAACAAGGCTGCCAAGGATGGCGAAATAGACAGGACACTGGCGCTGACATCATTTCGCTTTGCAAATTGTTTTAGTGTCAAAGGTCAAACACACACTTACACTTGCCAGTGCCAGTGGCAGTGCCAGTGCCATGTGACACGGCGAAGTGCAGCCGTAAAAAGGCTCCCGCCAGTGCAAATCTGTTGAGCAAGTTTTAGTTTCGGCATTTGTGAGCAACATGAGATCCTGGGCTCGTTAGCGGTGCCTGCCAAAAACTTTGCCAGTCACGTCAAAGCTGCCGCTCTTCTATTCTACCCTGCTGCCCTGTTTTCCACACATTTTCTACACATTTTCCCCCATTTCCCCAGGTCTCTCAGGTCTCTTTTTTATTTCGCGGTATCTTCAACCGGCTGCACGGAGCCAAGCGCTTTAATCCTAGTTCCTCGCCTCAGGCTGCTCATGACTTGCTGCAATTCCGGGACAGGTGTGTCCAAGGTCCAAGTCTCTCGGATTCCATCCAGCAGCTGCCAAGTTTGCGTGTTTTCCAATCTTTTCTTCGTTTTCGGGGTCCTTGGCTTGTTTGGCCTGCCATCTTCAAATTGGGCGCAGTTTGGCGCTGCTTTTGCTTTTCCTAGCCCCCCTTAATTTTAGCGAACTTTGGTGAGAGTTTTGGTAAGCAGCTAATAGCCAGCATGAGTGGCCAAATGCTGGCTAATTCTAGAAAATAAGACCAGGGCCCAGAAAAAAACCGAAATCAATCGTGCACGAAATATTATTGAAATTAAATTAGAAATGTTCGAAAAAGTTTTTAGTTAATAGCCATTTGACATACATTTCTGGTTCTTTATCTTATTATTTTAAAATATATACTTTAATATCAATGCTCAGATTTAGTTTTAGCTCCTGAAAAATATAAAAAAATGTTGTAAAACAATGCCTTTAACTTATAGTCATAAAGGATATGGAAAATATTTCAGCAGTCAACAGTGGAATAGTATAACTTCAATTAAGAATGCCAAATCCTATTTTTAGTTAGCAAATTATTCAAAGAGCAGCTTAAAGAATTGCCAATGAAAATTGTAATTACGTTCTCGTATTTTTGTTGACCCCTCGACCCGCACAGCTGCCATTTCACAATTTAAATTCCTTTTTTCGCCTTGGCCATCAAACGATGCCGAAAAAGTTTAAATTAGTTAAAGAACTTCATTAACCGAACCGTCGAAAAAGATTGACGTTTTCGAAGCCCAGAGCTTGTGGAATATTATGAAAAATTATAATTACCGGCTTAAGCTGGCCATCCCGGCGACCAGTGGCAAGTGGCAAGTGGCGACCAGCGAAAGAAACCACCGCCAGATATTATCGGCAAAGCTAAAGGCAAAGCCAAAAGCAAAGGCAAAGCCAGTAGCTGTTTATTTTCCGAGCATTTCAACACAGTGGCTGCCGTTTTGGCTTCTCTCCTCCGCTTGTTTTTTATGGCCTGTCGCAGCCAACACAAATCAATTAGATAATGTGGCAGCAGCATTCGCAATCGCAGTCCCTGATAGGCCATGCATATTTATAACCATCGCCGAGTGCATTTAAATCAAAGCCAAGACAAACGATCGCGGACGGGCGATAGGCCTAGGTCGGGGAATACGCTTGCATATTTAAACGATGGGGCATTTTAATGACGATCGACTAGCTTAGAAATCGAATAGCAAGGTCGTTCCCAAACAGTGGATCTCTCTGAAGCCGAAGACTGGGCCTTTTTATCGTGGGCGGGGTAGGTGCAGTGCCTTGTCTCCAACTATAAAAGCCGGATTGGGCTGAGCTTCCAGTATTAGTTCCCCCAATCAGCTCCCATTATACACATCTCCAATCAACATGCGCGCCTTTATCGTAAGTTTCTTGAGGGTTTATTAAGGAGGGCTGATGTCTAGTTAACCCTTAACCTTTATCCTTTACAGCTTCTTTGCCTGTTCGCTGCCAGCTGCAGTGCCGACAAGCTGGGCTACAACTACCAACCGGTGGGCCATGCCGATGAGGGTTTGTCCTTCCAGCCTGGTCAAGCTAGTCAAGGTCAGGTGATTGGAGAGCTGCCCCAGCAGCTGCTGCAACCCGTGCAGAGTGGCGAGGCGGTGCTCTCCCAGCCCATTGAGGCTCCCCTCCAAACGGGCCCCTTGGCCCCGCAGATTGCGCCCCTCGTCGAGGAGTTCCAGAAGGAGTTCTACAGCTATGGCGCCCCCGAGGAACAGTTCGATGAGGTGGCCAGCAACCAGCAGATCGCCAACTCGCTGAAGAAGAACCTCCGCGTGGTCTTCATCCGCACACCCGAGAACCAGGGCTTCGAGCGGGCCGCCCTCCAGTTGGCCAAGCAGTCCGCCCAGCAGGAGACCGCC